GCTAATTTAAAAGATTAATAAAAACGTGTCTTTTTGTTGTCACTGAAAGTGGCTCACCTTTGCATTCAAAGGAGAGGCCTATCTCCGGTCCACTGTCATCAACGTGCTTTAGTAGATCCTTTTGCGCGGACATACTTGATATGGACGACCTTAGATGTACTTTAAGTGAATTCATCTTCTGGAGGTCGGCTTGAATATTCTCCACGGCGTGTTTTCACTGCACATTTTAGTATAAACATTTTACAAATGACAAAGTCTGAGTTCAATTACTGTGCGTTGGCATTTAATTCAAAAGTGGGGAAATTGTGCGTTGTACCAAATTTTTCCAATTTACATTCACACACTTTAAAGATTATGTTGAGACGTAATAACTGCTAATCGTTTGTATACGGAACAAGGAATGAATTTTTAGTTCATTAGGAGTTATAGTAGGACTGTGGATTGGAAGTTGACTCGATGGTTGGGAATTCTTCACTTCATAAAGCTAGTGAAATAGCATGGAGTCGATTTTGAAGTGTAAGCGGCTTCGACTTTGTGGATTGTAGGAGCGCCGCAAGAAGGAGCGTGCTGAGGAAGAAGCTCGCATGGCTGAGGCCCGTGCCATAGAGGAGCAAAAACGACGTGCTGAAGAGGCAAGTTCATTTTCATTTCCTTCACCCATTATTGCTTAACCGGTTAATTTAATTTGGTCATTGTTTCAAGGTAAGGAGAAATAACTTGCGGCTTGATTCTCGACTTGGGAACTAAAATTAACGATTGAGAAGGTAGATTGTGCCTTGAGGATGTCCACTACTCCAACCCATTTGCAACTCATCCTTTGACATTGATTGCAAAACCTTGGCACAGCAGGCATAAAGGACTTTAGGTTTTGAGTTTTTTTGCCTTGCAGGAAGAGCGTACACGGAAGAAGAGGGAGGAGGAACAACGTAAGCGTGAGGAGCGCGAACGCAAACGTGCGGAATTCGCTGAAAAGTCAAAGCTGACTACGCGTCGCAATTTCGTCATCAACAAGAAGGCTGGATCTGTGGAGGTAAGTACTTCTTCGATTGTGCAAAAAATTGTCATAAGGAAGATCTGTGCTCGTATCCTTTTTTGTTCATAACAATGGAACACCTCAAGCCCAAATTCAGTAGCGTAGAAGTATTAACTCTAACGTCGCTAACCACCACCTCGGATATACTATAGACCGTGGATAGATTGTTAGTAAATTTGCAATATTTTATTTTCAAAGCCATGGATATTTCCTGTTCAATCAGATTCTGGTGAGGATTTACATGTGTGGCGTTCACAATGCTGTGATCTTGCCGTATTACTAAGCCATGGGGACTTGTATAGACTAAGTTGAATGGAGTCACAAAGTGCTCTTTACCTCTCTTCCCCAGCTTTAGGTAACAACGAGTCGTTGAAAACTAGAATGAAGTAACTCTGGTCAAATTATGCCGTCACTTGCCATCCACTAGCTGTAAGCCAGGTATAGTGCACCCAATGTCTGTAAAAGTGTTCTGCGAACCGGTAAATTCAAATTTGTTGGTGTTTCATGGTTGATCTGACAAAATTAGATTTCAGAATAGCTAAACCTGCGAAGTGGAACGAAATTCTCAGTGGTTAATTTGGTTAATATTCAATAAATGCCATGTCGCTTTCAGCAAGTGGAGGAGGTCAAACAGGAGGAGGTGCAGAAGTCAAAAGAGCAGCTGGAGGCTGAAAGAAAGGCAATTCTGGAGCAGCGTATCCAGCCTCTTCAAATTGATGGCTTGAAGGGTGAGCAACTGCGCGCCAAGGCTAAGGAACTCAACGACATCATTCTGAGACTTGAGGGTGACAAATATGACCTCGAGCAGCGCTTCAGTCGTCAGAGCTATGACGCAAGTTTCCTTTTGTGCGCCATTCACTCATCTACCTCTTTCTCCACACATCCGTTCATTCATTTAAGCATTCCTTCATTCGTCTTCTCCTCAATTTCTGCCTATGAATGCAACCGCTTTTCGACGCTTCATATTGAAATTATGGTACTAAAGCGCTTAACTAAACTGTTGTAGATGCAAGAGCTAGCTGAGCGCGCTAGACAAATGAACAAAGGGTAAGTTGCTTCCAAAAGACGCCTACTACTCAGTCTGACTTTTATCAAATGGATCTGTCTGAACTTTTGCCGCTTTACAGGGACAAGCGTGGAACTAAGGTGCAGAACACACCGTAAGTGGATTAGAGTGTAACGAATCCTGAGTTGCACACAGACTTAATTGCAGAATGGCCTGGGTGATTCAGGCTCAATGCTGCATGTGAATAATCTCCAGTGTAAATCTCGTGTTCCCCTACAAATTAGCTTTCCCTACTGACTAAATCCTTCTTTACATTTGACTTTCAGTGATCCACTTGCTGCAAAAATCAGTGGTCTTCCAGTAAGTTTCCCTTTGCGATGGAAGCAGTGATTGGGGAGCAAAACTAATCTTTTCTTTGATACCGTTTAGCCAAAGATCTCCATGTACAGCGAGTACGAGCGTGTAAAGGACCACCGTAGCTTTAGCGAGCGTCAGGGTGTCTTCAGCGGTCCCCTCTTCGTAGAGAGATATGAGAGAATCGAGCCCAAAGTCCACGTAGTGATGACGGAGGACGGCTTCCAGGTCGGTGATGCACCTCACCACCCACCGCCTCCCCCTGTATCCGAGACACCCGCTGAACCAACTGAGCCTGTCGCTGTCACCGCAGAATAGACAACTGTCCGCTGCTAACACTAACACAAGACTTCACTCATTTCCCTTCCCTGTTCTGTGTGTTTAGAAAACTTCTATACATTTCGTGACCATGTGAGCTTTTCTCCTTGCAGTGTCAGCTCTTATTTCCGGCTCGTCCGCAGCCATCTCTTTTTTCTTCCTCACAGGTTATGATGGTCATACTATTACCTCGCCATACCTTCTTCTTGTCATCCTCCTCCTTCTACTGCGTAATAATTAAATATATTTTCGAAAATAAAAGCAGAATATGTAGTGCCTAAAGTGTCATTTACTTGTTCCACACAATTTAAACAAGACGTAAGAACCACTCGCAGCCGGTCGTTTTCCAGCGTTTAATGGTGTGATAAGCTGTTCCATCAAATCATTTTATATTTGATACAATGGAACGTATGTCCAAGCTCATTTAAGTGGTAAGATTGCAACAGTTACAAAATCTGAAGACAATAAGGGAATAGCTGCGACATCTTCCCCCGCCCTCCACATCCCTCGTACCAGCCTTCCAAGACAGGTACAAGCAGAAGGAGAAACGGTACAACAATTGATATCCGAGCTAGTCCAGAGGAGAGCCCTTGAACTCCACCTGCACGGCGTTCAGACTGAATTCCCGCCTCTCCCCAACAAAGCAACCTTTAGGCAGCCAATATGCATTATAATCACGTTTGAAAACCTGAGCTGGTGGATTATTTGCCCTAAAGTAACTTCAAGTGTAAAGATAAATTAACTCCTTGTACTGCATCTTGCTCTCGGGCTGGATGGACTTGCCTCCTAACCAAGCCAAAGCGCCACTTCTTCCCTGCTCCTTGAAATACAAGTATTCAGCCATGCCTAATGCCTTCGACCACCAAATAGGAAGAATTGATACGTTCAATTGGTAGTAGTGGAAAACGAACTCCGCCGTACCACCTCTTCAATAATGGTCTTAATCGTTCGAGATCAACCTCTACGGTGTGAATTGCGAGCGGAATAATCTCTAACGGCTCAATAACGGAAGGGGTGAGAACAAAATCTGCCACATTTTCGTGTTCCACCATCAAACTATCAACAACTGAAGCAAAATCGGATAAGTTTGATTTTAGAGTTTTCCTTACGTACGTGCTCGACGACATTGCGCTAAAACCCCTTCTATACAAGGCCGTTTTCAATCCCGTTTGCATTGTATTAGACCGGTGTTCCGACGTCTATGCCTGGACACAATTGAAGGTCAACAAAGTACCCACCCTTGATTTTTGTTTTCAGATCGAAATGAACTCCAGATACAGTTGAAGCTGTTCCATCGGTCAAATGGGAGTTGACGACTAGTATGACTAGGTCGTAAATGTTTTGCAGCACCGAATACGCTGTAATGGCTGACGTGGGAGGCGTATAGAGGGTAACGACTTCGTCCAAAAGAGGAGAATAGCAATGAAGTACAGCTTGGTCTTGGCTGAGTGGTTTGGACTTCGGGCCAAGACAAAGCTCCACGTTTGGCCCTTCTCCCTGAATATAAGTGTCCAGTCATGACCATTGCCTTTGACCACCAAATGGAAAGTCTTGGGAAGCTAAAAACTTTTAGGAAAATCTTTACCACTTTACTGTTTTGCATGACACCAATTTGCTTACAGCAAATTCCCATTTATTTATCTGAAACTACCGATGGATCTGTGATTTGTGTGCAACCCCATTAATTATCTCGTCGATTTTCAAGCAACAAATTTCGTACAAAATTTGTTAATGATCTTCAGTTACTTGTTACTTCAAGCAAATGTTCCAATATAGGGATCATTGAGAGCTCTTTAGGGTCGTGTTCAGCTTATATCACTCCAAACCTGAAAAGAGCTAAGTAGAAGCACGCAAGCTTTTTCAGCATAACTAAAAAGTATCATAGACCTGTCTCTGCTCATTTATAATGAGCAGACACATGCCAGAATTGTGACAAACATAAAACGAAAGCAATGAAAGGTTTCTCCTACAGATGCAGACAAATAGGCGACGTTGATAGAAATGGAGAACATGAGATCAAAGGGGGCTTTGAGGAGGTGGATACCGCCCTTCAGCTCAGGACTACTGGGTACTTCAGCCATCCAGATAAAATACATCTCAAGCCCAAGGGACGTTTGTGAACAGTTAAAAATATACTTTACTAACAGATTAAGTAATGCGGTAATTAGTCTGCGTAAAATGATAAAATGCATGGCAACAGGAATAGAACTTGTGAGTAATACAAAAAGTTCCCATCGCTTTTGATCGCCTCAGGCTAAACATAACTGGCCTGGGGTTTAGGAAAGGAAACCGCGTAGTTCTCAAGCGGCTGCTGTTGATGCGCCGGCGGGGAAATACTTATTTTCCGATCCCCCGACACCACTGAGGGGAAGTGACTACGACTCCCGAGATTCGCGTCACCGAGATAGTCCTCTGACCGTGATCCGTTACACATGGGAGCAAGGGCCTCGTTCGGGTCATCTGCATCGTCTTCTTCATCGTCTTCAAGGTCATCACATACTGCAAGAGCGGGTTCGGATTTGTAATGCGCTGATTTATGAGCAAAGCGGCCGCGGCCTAGACTGTTAGAGAAGGCGAGCAGATCACAGCTGCCCTGCGTGGAGGTCACCTTTGGCCGTTGTAAATGGCGTTGGAGACCGTCGGCATAGTGAACCATCGTGGTGACTGCCCCAGTATGAATTGCAGGTGCGAAGGACTAAAGTCAAAAATAAAACTAACAACAATAACGCATGGTAGGTTTGGACTTATGTGAGGCAACTTCACCATAAACCCGAATCAGTATAGGAGACGCACAAGTAAAACCACATGATCTGGCGCATGAACAAGAAAAATGCCGAAAAGATAAAGTACCAACACTTTTAACCTTCGAAAACCAATTACCCGCCAAATTTTTTGGTTGTGACTGCCTACCGTAAACATGCATTCCTAAGAATGAAGGGATGTAAAAGTGTGCCTTTAAAATCGGGATCCTCCGACAGTTACGGGAATGATGCCTGGAAGCACAGCATAGAAAAGGGATTGGGTTGACTTCATGCAACACAATAAGATTGCATAATTTTAAAGTTTGGTGGTAGTTGCCTTAAAAAATTCGTCGAAAAAATTTATGATTTAAACTTCACAAATAACGATCCACTGGTCACATTCTTGCCTTTCGTAATTTATCGCTACTGCAACCACCATTTACGACCCAAATGCTGTCCCAGTTGAAGTTTCAAACATTAGCCGACAACAACTTTAGGCGAAGAGAAGCGGAAAAAAAAATGAAAGCCCACCTGACAATGGTCAGAATTTATGACACCGCCTGGTTGGACGTAGAGCGATGGGAGGGGAAGAGGTTCACCGTACCGGCCAGAAGAATTGATAAGATTGGGTTGATGGATGGAGGGAATGACAGTTGGCTGAACGCCCATGGTTGCTGAGTTGTAAAAATTGGGCTTTGGTGGAGAAAATTCTTCACTTGGTGAGACTAGAAGGGCGAAACCAGCATAGTCAACAACTAAGGCATGCAAAATGCCTGAACTTAGTGTTGGTAAATGCGACACCGGCCCTAATCAATTCGTGTCCCGTGATTCTTAAGGATAGCTCGAACGAACCATAGCGATGACCATGGTGAACAAAGTCAACATGCTTATAGGTAAGTACTACGAAAATTGGACCAATAAGACGTGGGACTCTGAAGTATTGCAATGATAATGCGATAGCATGGGCAGAACCCACTGTACAAAGTTGAATGACCCACCTTCTATTCGGTTCTTGAAAATGATTATCATCCGAACGTTTAGGGCAAAGCTCACATGCGGCGATTTGAATGAGAAACAATTCAGAAAATTTACAAATTGCATCAAGAGACGTTCCCTTTGTACGTGAATTAGTTTAAAATTGTCAGCTTTTGGAAATTAAATAGCTTATGCAATTTAACGCCAGTAACAAAGGGTTTCTCTGATCAAGTTTTTTGGAACAAAATATTGTGATTCATTTACATGTGTAAACTTCAATATCTCAACATTACGCAGAAGGGAAAAAATATAAGTTACTTATGGGCTTGAACGTCCCCACAGGAATCGGAACGAGTCGGGAGGACTGAGATGATACTTGGTTTCCTGATGTATCCACATGATAGCAGTCTGTGTAGAGCTTCGGCTGAAGCAAATAAGCATACAAAGTCAGGTGGTCACCAACTTGAATTGAAAACAAAAAAGACATTAGTAAGAATGTCAAAGTTAATCAATGCATAAACTTAGCTCCCCCTATTTCAGAGTTCTTGCTTCAGGTATCAACTCACTGATCTGTCAAAGAAGTTGGGAGCATCAGTGACCGTCGACTGAATCCCATTAATGTGACACCGAGGCGTCCCATCAGGAATGGAGACGAAAGCTCCACCACTACTTTGAAGACACTTTGAACTGGAAGCAATAAACTCACCACCAGATAGTGGTGGAGGGGGAAGAGGCGTCCAAACTCGACGTTGGAAAGCGCCTTCCTTGAGCCCTTTATGATTGACTTCATTTGCCTTGTTCGACTTGCCGACATACTTTGGATTGCCGTAGGGATTAGAGGGGGTGTGTGGCTTTTGAAACAATGCGCATACATCCGGAAGCCAAACAAATAGCTTTTGTCGATGTCTCAAGTAGAAGCAAAGCGCGGTTAGCATAATGAAACCAGCTATCATCAAGCTGATAACAACCACCGTAACAACGTCGGAAATACTTCGTCCGCTGGCGTTCCAGTCGACTGGATGCCGATATGGAAAATCCATGGCAGAGTCGCCCGAATAATCAAGTAAAGGCGATATTCGTTTTTGGGAAGGCATTCTCACGCGAACGTTGGAAGCGAATTGTGGAGATGAGCGATCAACACCCAAACGGATTATTTGCCGTGTCTCCAGAGGCGGACTCCCAAGATCTCGAACTATAAGTTGCAACCAGTGTTCGCCTAAATCCGCCTCGGTCATTCGGCGCTGGGTCTTCAGGAGACCTTTCACAGCGTCTAGTTTAAATAAATCTCCATCCAATGCCGTCCTGGCCAATCTAGAGGCGTCTGCATCGGGATATGACGATAATACCGGACCTAATTCAAACAGGAACTTTCCATTCTCCCCCTCAGAGTCCTTGTCATTGGCATTGATACTGAGAATCTCAGTGTCCGGCATTTCTAGGTATGAGAGGGTGTGAACATGAGCGGTTGCCGTGGCAGGTTTCGGAAATATAATTTCTGGTGCATTGTCATTAACATCCACCACAGACACAGTGATGACGGCAGTAGATGTGTGGCGCAGGTGTGAAGGTCCACCGGAATCCGAAGCAAAAACATGAAAGTGAAAAATCTCATCAACCTCACGATCCAGAGAACGAGTGACATTCAGGTAGAACCGGCCATCTGGTGTGGAATCAATCACAAAAGGTAGATCAGGTGGTCCGTTGCCAGGCTTAATGAAAAGAGTGATGGAGTGTTTGGGTGGTTCACTAACTCGTAGAGGGAGGGACAAAAGAGAACTTGAAGTAAGATCGTGATAGCCATCCCTAGGAGCGCCAGCATCTGCATCGTGAACTGGAATTTCGCCAATGCGCTGTGGTGAGGGTCCATTCTCGAGAACGGGGAAGTTGAGCTGCTGCGGCACGAACGTCGGTGGGTTATCGTTCTCGTCCTCGATAACCACAGCCAACAGGACATAGGAAGTGAGAGCCACGGGGTGACCAGAGTCCTGTGCCTCCAAAAAGAGATAAAGCTCATCCCGGATTGGTGAAGACTGCTCTCGGTCGATCATCCTAGTCGTTGTGATATCGCCATTTGCTTCCAACTGTGGAGAAGAATCAGTCAAAATTTTGTATAAATACTATTAAATTTGTGTTTGCTCGACGAGGAGGAATTGGAGTCATTAACACTAAGCCTTACTCATGCTGGTATATCTTATTTCATCGATTGTTCAACGAATAAATTTGGTCATACAAATGAACAAACGAATACTTACCCTCAATGGGAGCCATCAAAATGGATCCAACAGTATCTTCAAGTAAGCAAAGTAGGGTCAGTCGGATAGCCCTATTCTAGTTGAGACTCCTAGACCGAGTTTGGACTCAAGCTTTGGCTGGTCACTTGGAGACTTTTGACGTAAACACTTATTCAAGTCCCTTGCATGGAACTTAGTCCGCATAGGAAGACAATGAAAGCTACTAAATCACAATGGTTGTTGCGAAGTTGGTAACAAAGGTTTTACTCGCCAAATAAAGCAAGGTAACTAATTCTTAAATCCTATTACCCAATGCAACTCAGGATTTAATTCAGTAGCCTACTCAGGAGGAAACCTTGACGAGGGTAAATAAACACTTGTGGTTTTAAACGAGAGCTCAGATTGCGGAAGCGTACAAGTTTGAATTCTCAGCCTGATGTGATTCAAATTTGATGGTGAGGTATGCACCTTAAAGAGATCGATTGAGCTGATGTCAGAGCGGATGATAACTGGAGACAAGTTGTGATCGACCGTAGCTTCGGGATATCGACCAGTACTTTGAAAGGATGAGAGAGGACCAGGCACCACACGAGGCAAACGACGATCCTCCTTTGGAATTTGAATAGTGACTCGTCCATTCTCACCGGCGTCAGCATCAACTCCTCTGACCGATGCTACAATCGTACCAGCTGGTCTGTTTTCCGGCACGCTTACCTGGAAAAATTGGACGTATCCAGCTCGTAGTCAAGACAAATAGAACATATTGAAAATAGTCAGACGCTACGCACTAAAACGACCGGAACGCCTGCCTCATACGCGTTCACCAGTGGATGTTCAGAAAAGGGTGGCCTTCGGGACATGGACCAGTCTGGGAAGGTCTTCTGGAGAATGTCTGCAAGACGACTACGCTGAAGCGGTGGGACAACATTCAACTGGTGATTTCGGTGTGCTGAAGGAATTCGTGCATGGATATTCAGTTCGGGTACGCAGTCGTTTTGGTCCAATATTTCAACCTATAAGCGAGACCAAGGGTTTTGAGAATGTATGTTTACTGAAGATAATGTTAGTAGACGAAAATGCTACCTCCACCGTGGCTGTTGAGGTCTTGGGCGGAGCTCCATCGTCAAAACATCGAATGATGACGCACTGCCTCAGTTCCCGTTCTCTGTCTAGAGGTGTTTTAGCCTGCAGCACGTACTCACTGGTCCCTGATGCGGTGTCACTTTGAGCACTAGGAGTGAGCGTGTAGTTATCCAAGTGACTGCCCAGCTCACATGTCACTCGGCCCCCAGCAGTGGAGTGCAACACCCCTGGATGGTTGAATCGTATCCCACCACCTCCATTCCCATTGAACGGAAATCCTGACGTCTGGACCATGTATGGATCCTGCAGCGATGACACAGTCGATTTTGTGGTTCCTGCGTCGGCGTCGGTGGCACGGATTAGGGCAATGAAGTGATTTCGAGACCCGTTCTCCATCACCTGTTTGTGCTTCACTGATTCACTGTTGACCACATAGTCAATGCTGATTTGTGGCTTCTCATCATTTAGATTGATGACCTAGGAATCAAAGGATAACGTCCATCACGAATCTCAAAAAAAGATCCCACTAGGATTACGCTCTCATGAGGCTCGGATTTCATAGGAATATTTGACCGTTCCGAAACCAAGACAAGCTTTCAGACGAGGCCTTCGTCCTCATTCCTTTATTTACTCTTAGATATGGCAACCGAAGTTCTTCATGAAAAAAACTCATTTTATTGATCTGCTCATGTGGGTATTTGCCAAACGCATTCATTACAGGATCGTATGGGTCAGGTTTCCTTCATATTATAAAAAACAATTGATTCAGACAAATGTGAGTCACCTGTATTTAAAAGGTCCATTAAATACCAGATGAAATTGAGCCATGAGATCTTGACCGGATAGGGAGCAGAGGCTTTACGCTTACATTAATCGTGACTTCAGTCATGGAGGAAGTGTTTTTTAGAGATTTCCTGGTTGTGCTACCGCCACTTCCGTCGGCGTCATCGGCATTGGGATTAGTAGCGACGATTGAAAAAACAAATTCGCGTCTGGTCTCGTAGTCTAATGGTCGGTGAATGAAAATTTCACCAGTCCATTCGTTTAAGCGGAACCAGTAAGTGGGCAGCGCCTGCAGTCGGGAGAGTCGTTCAGGAGAGAGAGGACTGAAGGCCGTAGCAATTTCTTCGTCTGTCAAAAGTCTTTGGTGATCGAGCAGCAACTTCGCATCAGGGCCAAAACGCTCGTAATCGGGCCACCATGAATAACGAATACGCGCGTTCGCCCCCTCGTCTTGATCGTGTGCGACCACTTTGAGGATGGGCACTCCTTCGAATACATGACCCTCTTCTACGCTCTTCTCGTAGGAAATGCGTTCAAACCTTGGCTCGTGGTCATTGGCATCAGTGACCTAGACAAAGACAGCCCCTTCATTTCAGTGGAATTGAATGCCTATTTAGTACATTATTGAGATAGGGTATCAGAGAAAAACTCCTTTGAACCAACAGTTTTAACAATCAACAAGCATATCGAAGGATAAGATGTCTATAGACTTAATTCTACCTTTAGACCTCACCGAAGGTATTTAAAACGCCACGGGAAGCAAAAACTACTAGGGAGCTCACTCAAAACATCACTTTTTACAATGAAGCTTAAAAACCAATAGAGATGAGATTTCAAAAAGTTGGCATCGTTTTCCTACTTTGAAGGTTTTCGCCTGTCATTGTCCACCATTTTTTATTCCCACAAATCTTTTTAGGAACTGTAGATAGACCTTAAAATGACTGACATTTTGTGGTAGTTCCATCACCGAGCTCGAAACTGATGGTTTTTAAACAAGGGTGTGGCCAACTAGGAAGTTTAGGGTGTGTATGTTTTGAGTGAAGTATTCCATATAGGCAAGCAAATTTTACTTTGCAAACATGTTACAAAGGAGGCCCTCATACTGTAGTGAAATTAAAGCTTTATAGGAAACGACTGCAGTGGTAAAGATCAAGGACAACCATTTTAAAAAAAATTAAGATAATGAAATTAACAACATAGGAAGTTCTGTACAATTAGAAGTAAATAAACAGCTAAAAGGAAACCCTCCTGAATGACACCAAAGTATGAAAAACTAATAATAATTCAGTATTAGTAGCCCTAGCGAAAACCGAAAGCTCTTTAGCCACCTTCGTGAATATGACAATATTGGATGTTTACAATGTCCTTTGCAAGTGAGAGGCGAAAATGTAACCGCAACACCGTGCAAGAGGTGCGTGGAAGAGCCACAGGAACCAGACAGTATCCTAGCGCTCCTCACCTCTCCTCCCCATTTGACAAATAGTAACCCTTAATGTGACTAACAAGGCCTCTCAGAGAGGATCTACTTCCAAAGAATTCCCAGAGGAAGAATCCAGTGCCTGGAGTGGGGTCTGAAAATTTTTTCCCCAATCAAAGCAAATCGCATCGAAAAATACGAGAATAGGGTAGGAAAGACTACGCACTCTAACAATCCCCGGTCATTCACCAGTGTCAACAATACTTGATTAAATTGCAACAGAAGAAAACTCAGTACTGTGTTTGCTAATATTTACTTTAGTCGAATGGGTTAAAATTGAATCTAGGCCGGATCACTTTTAAGCTAAAGCGCAAGAGGGCCGGTCGGTCTGCGAAGTGACACAAACATTGAAAGACATGTAACTAAGATTATTTGAATTTAGATAATTAATCGGTGGCTGTAAAGCAATACGGGTCTACTTGAAGTTAAAGTTGCTGAAGTGGCCGTGGGAAGTCATGATACTTTGATATTATCCGGGAAAGGCTGGTCAAGAAAAGCCGCGAAAATCAGTGTCAAATTATTTGCATGAGCCCAATTACTAATGGTAAAATTATCAAACTTGTAATTCAGGTGAAACTACTCATTGAGGCAGGACATGTCGTACATTTAAGCAGAAAAGCAGCGTCCTGACAGCTAAAAACACCAAACCGTCTGGCAAGAGTGAAAAAAGGCCTCACATAGAGAGTGGATGAAAGCAATGAAAATCATAGGCCGTTTGACAGAGAAAAGTGAAGTAATAAAAAGAAGCACATTACTTCAAAATTTCTGCCACAAGTAAAAATAGACAGCAATTAGCCAAAGTAATTGAAAATCCAAGTGTACTCTGCCATGACAAGAGCAGCAAGTTCTCTATTCTAGAAGAACCTGCTGGATAATTGAGTAAGCAAATAAAGAAGGTTATTTACCTTGCTAATTAGCATCAAATATACGTCAAACATAAGACAAACCCGTATTTGAACAGAAAGAGTTCCTGTTAGTGGGGTTGGTGAGCCACCGTCGATGGCCAGAACCCTAAACTCAAACAATGGACGAGTCTCGCGATCCAACGGTGCCACAAGCAGCAGATCGAGGCCTGTTATGGGCGCTTCAGTGTCAAAGTGCGACACCGAGCTGAGCTCGCGATTCCGAGCCTCCAGCTTGAAATGCCTTTCAGGCGACGTGAAGGAAGCTGAAGGATGCTGACTGCCACTGGAATCCACGACATAGCGCTGAACGTTGAAGGGTGCAGCGTCTTGATCTGTGGCCAAAGGCAATGCCAGTCGGTGAAACCCCACGCGAGCCGCCTCCGAGATATTGAGGATTAGTTGAGGAGTTTGGAAAGGAGAACCACCTCCATATTTGCTCAATGGGTCCGGATATTGAGATGTGAAATTCGGAATCTGGAAGAGAGGCGGCAGCTAGCAGTGACGCAGCCTTGAAGGCTAGACGAGTCAGTGATAACTTTTAAGATAGGGGCAGAGAACGAGCAGCAATACAAAGGCGGCATAAATCAGTGGTAGTCATCGTACCGGGAATACGAAGTGCGCAGGCTTATCATTCACGCCCAATCTCTACCATTTCTAAATTGAAGTTTAGCGTGACCCTAAGTAGTAAGTCATTAGATTCTCTGCACTCTTGGAAGAAAGCCCAGTTGCATTCTGTGGGACAAGTTAAAGGGATTCACCGCCAGTCATTAACTATCAAAAGTGAGGTTTGGGCATGAGAGCTTCCGTTTTTCATGAAGAAGGCACACGTAGCTATAAATCTCGTAATTCCAAAAAAGCAAGAGATAGAACCGTCTAGAAAGTATATAAAAGGACAGATAGCTACTTCATCATGGAAGGATAGGATTTTTAGTCACATTGCGCAAGCTGCTGGTTCAGGCGAACCCAGATGCATGACACGTCCCATCCAATGTTGGTAGGAGGAACACCGAAATAAATTGGGAAAGAGTTTAACTTTTATTCTTAAAATTAAGAAAATGCCGTAAAGTATATCTTATGATGCCTTTAAACAGAACGATGGAAATAAACTTTAACAAAAGTTAGCTTCGTCTAGAAGGGAGTGCTCCTGATTAGATGAATATTCCAAAAAAAAACAACATTAATGTGTACATTAACCCATCCGCCTTGGTCTTTACTTTGGGAAAAAGGTAAGTCGAGGACCTTTTGTCGCACAAACCAGTAGTATTTTTACTCCAGACTGCGCAAATGGCTGCCTTTCTAAATGCTTAGTCCGCGAGTAATATGGCTAAGCATCACATGGCACAGGAACATTCGTCTACCTTAGGTGTCTTGGCGAGGGAACAAAACTATCAAAAATTCAAGACATTATTTCTTAGTGTTTATTCGACTTAACACGCATGACATGGAATGCTTTTAGAATGAAGCTCTTTGAATTTGTGCTTTTAGAAATGTGAATCATTAAACAAATTCCCATGAGGCGTACTGACGGGTAGTAATCAAGGAGTGGGCCGAATTCCCATGGACTAAAGGGATGCTCATACGCCACCAATGACGGAAACCGCTACAGAGGTTTTGACAGGTGTGATGTGGCTAGGCGGTAAATGTGTTCACACTCGAAACTCCTGAGGGAGGAGACCAGAAACGAGTGATGAGGAGCATGAGAGAAAAAAGTATCGAAAGAAGGAGACTATAACTAGAACTGTGATGGGAGGCAAAGATCATTCTCTCTGATTTCAGCCCTGACAGCCGCATGGGTATCTCCTCTCACTGCGCCTCCATTCCCTTCCTCCCGTTTCCTCCTCCACATACAAGGGAGGTTAGATAGAGCTGAGTAAAAACGACTCCATTCCCTTAAAGGTTTACATGTTTCCATGTACGCTATGTTCCATACCTCAGAATATTATTAAGATTAGGAACAGAAGTTGAATATTTTATGCGGAGTATAGCTTAATTACCAGCATAATCCTCAGTAGTTCAGCAACAACGACATTACTATTGGGTCAACATTTGAGGCAAAGTAAGCGCGAAGAACATATGGAGAAAGAGTTCGAAACTCAATTCCTTTTACTCAAGGCGTGAAAAGTCGGTAGGAGTGATCACAACTTTGCTCTTTTACTATACGCAGTTGGAGAAGCGACACAAGCCACCGTAGCAATTACATTTCTCGATCAACTGGCCTTTGAATTACCTTTAATCAGAACAAATTTGACAGCCTATCACCTCAACGTCGATTGTGTGGGATCGTCAACATTCTTTGGACCTCAGTTCAATCGTGCTGCACATCTGTTGCCATTATACAAATAATCGTAACAAATAACACTCTAAGTCAAAACTAGAAAATATGGCAAAAGATTTTAAGCAAAAATTAATGCAAAAATGCGGTAGGGCTGGAGCAAAATCATAGCACAACACATGTTTGGCCATTTGAAGCCAAATGGAAATTCTCGGAAGGTGAACGAGGGCAGCCGAGTATCATTCTGGGATAGCGATTGTTAATCTAACGGATGAGAGAACTCAAACAAAGCACTATTATTAGCATGAGAATTAGCCAAATTCAAAATGCAAGACAATTTTCAAAAGAATTTATAAGTTATAGCGACTTCGTAAAAGTTTACAGAAACGAAGCGATGCAGGTGGAATAATGAGTTGACGAAAAAGCAGCAGTGCGCGTCACACCTTTTTAATCAACGCAAAGAGGGCAGAGCGGAGGTGAGGTGGATTTAATGAAATCAGCATTCAGCAGCTACAGTGGGGTAATGGGAGAAAGGTGGAGGTGAAATGACGCTTTTGGACCCTTGCCTCACCCTTACATTTCCCATAAATTCCCAGTCCCTTTAAAATCAACCCCACCACATCACTAATCGTAAAACGCACGCATCCACCCACAGCAACAGAACACCCGGAGTCGCAAAAACGAGGAATTTTAGCTGAAAATTGCCGCCCCATGAGTGTGGGGAAGGCAGCTCTCAGAAGAATCACACTCAGCTGGTCATAGCAACGATTTGAGGATCCATATAGAATACGGGGAGTTAAAAGGTAATACTTAATCAGTTGCACATAATGACTCAATGACCTACTGTAGATGAAGAGATAGACTGTTACTTTGCTAAATTAACCGAACTTGTGTCGAGTTAAGAATCCATAAATGAGAGATACATTGGCCTTAATTAAGTAAAAGCAAATAGTGACGACATGGATGACTAAGGGAGCAATTGGCAACACAGATAGAAGCAAACCGAGGAATAGACAGCAGGGCCCGAAGGTGCGGTAGATGGTTGAAAAGTACTTCTGCTAACCTTTAAAGAAAACAATTCTCAAAGCGTTGAAATCACGTTAGAAACGAATTATGAAGTTGTCAACTTGTTCTCAAATAGCATCGAGTCTGTTCCTTATTTGAATAGAATAATTAAGGTAATTTTAAATGTGGTTAAATTCAACCGAAAATATCCAGAAAGTTTGTTTAAGCGTACTGTCAGTTGCCCACAAACTTGGATGAATGAGAATACTTAAGTATATGATAGTCAAAGTGTATTTGCCGATGTGACTAGCTCCACATTCTAGAAACATCTACACATCTAGAAAACTTGGTTCTACGGATCACTTGTTCGAAACGTGGACGGAATTGGTCAAAAGGTAGGGAAAGCTGCCTGGGCTTTGCTGCAACGCCAGTGTTCATGTTCGCCTATTTGCCTCCAATGAGTCAGAGTGGCCTTCCCAAGCGATAGCAAAAAGGAAGTCGGAAATGAGGGACGCAGACACTGGACCGGTCAAAAATGAAGTGTCAAACATATCATTACAAATAGTCTTTGTACAGCCAATTACAGTACTTGCCCTCAAGTATGAAGCCAAGGTGCCAAGTCAAAGTGATTGCTCTAAGGATGTTCAAGGTGCCCTAGGGTGCATATTCATCCACTCAGTATAGGGCAATATTTCTTACATATTTCGCTCATGGTGCAAACGTATTGGAGTTAACCACCCGTTTAACTGTTTTGAATGAGCAAGGAAAGTTTGAGCGGTTTTTTTGTAGGCACAAAGGAGTTCAACCCAAATCGTTGAAATAGCACCTTGGTAAGAAAAAGGATGTTCATTTAGGAAACCAAAAACAAGAGGATAACTGGAAAAAATGTCAGTATTTAATCAAAAAGTGACCAGATGGAAATGCGTTAGAATGCCTGACAAAGTAATAATGGACTTCACCAGATGTGAAAATGGATGAAGTTGGAAATTGAGGCACATTCAAGCCCACCTACTCCGAAGTTGCACCTTAAGGCGAATGCACACGGAGGGTTTAAAACCAGGTTTGATTTATTACTCCAGGCTGATTGAGAAAAGCCCGGACAAGTTTTAGCCCTACCGTCTGAGAATGAAACCCTTTTAACCGATTAAAAGACTTCTAAAAGAAATTGGTGCAAATAGCTGCAAGCATTCCGAATGCTATAAATTTAAAACTTTTTGCAAACAGTAAATCTCAAGGGGCAAAAGGCAGAAGGCATTCTAAGAAGTTGGATAAAACTTTGACAGAAAAAATTCTCCCAAAAGGATCCTCCATTCAAGCTACACAACTGTTCAAAAACAAAGGGCTATGCGACGGAGTGCTTTTAAAAACCAAATAGAGATTCAGCAAGACCCATTAACTATTTGTTGGGAAAGTTACACAAATGGAAGTTCGAACATTGTCGTTGAGTTATCCACATACCAAATTCAGCCAGAGTACGAGCAAGCAAAATTGTCAATAAACGCCGAACAACAGTCGAAAAGTGCAGCAAAACTAACGATTTTGCAGTGCATGATAGGTAGCTTCAGTGAAGGGACCACAGGATATAATATTGAATACGATCTTAACAAAGAACACGAAAACTCCGCTTTCATGCTACGCAATTTCGGAGACACTCCCCTTCCTGCTATAATATTCGACTACATTGAGCACAGTATTTACCATTTGGAGGGGATACAGAGAATGACGTGGTAACGGCTCGTTTCATCGGTAAGTGGACATCCTCAAGCATGCAAATTTTGGTGCATGATGAGATCATACACTATCATGCGAGAATAAGGCTGCCGACAGAACAGTCCTAGTTGCCAATACAAGGGATACCTGAATACCTTCGAGTCGTATCACATCCAGCAGGTAGTCAGTTATAAGCAATCAACTTTCAACAAGAAAGTCATGATGGTTAACTGCTTATGCAGTCCGAAAATGAGGCAGTGAGTGCCTTGAAAGTAAGAAATGGTTAATGGGTAGGTTGTTCGGTGGAATCAACTATCCCTTTGTTTTCTCAACTAACTTTGCAATACAAAGCCTACCGCTCGCCACAAGTCACTTGACAGGCAACTTGAAAGTGGTAGATTAGCAGTGGATCTTTGGTACCCATTGTCAGCCGCGTTAACGTGTTTGGGCAGAACTGGTTCGCTTGTATTCCACTACTCTTCCCCACCTGTGTGACAGTGATGCGATCGGACTGTTACGTCACGCCACGTGTCCAACGTTGTCAAAAAATGCTGTCATGATGACTCCCACCCTTTACATCATTAGTGGGGATGCAATCATTTCCCCATGGTAGGGATTGAGGGTGGTCTTTGTGAACATGATGCGCCCATCTTACAGTGGTTCATCATTAATGGAGCACAATTGGTTTTTCTGGCTCGCCTGATTGTGGGTGGTGCATTCTGCCGCCGCATTCGCACCTTCACCAGTCAAAATGCTGTGCGACGGATGTCACGCCAAACTCGGTTCGCAAAGGGAGACAACATCAACTCGCTGAAATTTCAACCAACACCGCATACGCAGCTAAAGTGGCAGGTAAATAAATGCTACACAAATGAGCACATTATAGATATCAACCTGTTTCTTATGAATATTGCACACAATGAATAACATAAGCTTTACAAATCCTCGTGGTTCATATCATGACGTGACGACCGGTCAAGTCAGAAACCGTACAAACTTTTTAGGCTTGGAGAAACAAAACAGGCGCGAGAACAAATGAAGTCTCAACAGTTGATATTCCCACGCATCGTGCAGAGGTTATTTGTGACGATGTCATTATGGCTAAGGTAAACATTCACAATACTCTCGTAAAATAAATCTGCCTAAATCTGAATAATTATAGGTGATGAATGTCTGCAGCTAAAATACCAGCGGGTCTGCTGACAGGACAGCAAGGTTACTTTAAGTTGGGTACTCAGCTTACCACAAACATGGGCGCATGATCGTTCTCGTCTTTGATCTCGATGAAGACTCTCCGTGTGGAAGGGACAGAGTCACGCCTGTGTCCCTCGGTAACGGCAACATCGAGACTGAGAGCACAAACTGTGCCTAAGTCGCCGTTGTCGGCAGGGCGAACGGAGCTGAGATGGGAGTTTTGGGTATTCTGGGTACAGCAGAGTCCGGATTCTGCACACAGCATATCCCTGTCCACGGACCTTCGCGTCGTCAACATTCCCGTGCGTTCGTCTACACGGAAATAGCTGCTAACGGGACTTTTTAGCAGGGCATATGTCACGGTGCCATCAGAACTCCCTGGGACGATATTCATTACATCACCCAAAACCTTTTCAGCAACGATTTCGCCTTTTGGGGTGTCGTCACCAAGCGAAATCGTCTGCTGGGCAGCTGGAGAAGCAGCGAACGAGAGTAAAAACATGATCAGTAGGGGTATCGGTCCGTGGCTTCGGTAAGTTGCCATTTTCCGGGAATGTAAGCTAAAAAGGCACCAAATTTACTCAAACTGCTTATTTGGAACCCAAAATTATCTTGTTGTAATTGGTGAAACAAAGGTTAATCTGAATGAACTCATGATTAATCCTCCCCAAAAAAAATGTATAACACCCAGACTCTAACATTTAGATCCCAGCTTTAATTCATTTTATATCCAGAGTTACTTTTAGCATATAAGACAATTCAAGCTAAGGTTTTTGAACAACGAGCTCGCTAGGGCAAACGCTACACAAAATGATAATGATTCTCCAAAATGAGTGGCGATTTTGCAAAAAAAGTAGTTCCACAATAGCTATAAATTTTGTCACTCCAATGACCGAACTTCAACCAAATTCCGAACTGATTTGCTGTGGTCAAGAAAGCTTGGAACAATTCCTGTTTCAGGCTAATATTCCTATTACAGATTTGCATTTAAAACGCTGATTTCGTGAAAACGAAGTTGGGATTCAAGAGTACATTGTACCGGATTTCACATGTAAGTTTCCCAAGGGAATTCTCGCGACTACTATCTAAGGAATTTTCACTCAATTGATGTCAAAATTGACCGACTTAATCAGACTAAACGGAGGGACCATATCTTAACTGGTAACGGCGAATGGATTTGCAAACAAGAGTCGATGCTATTATGAGAACAACTGTACAAGTCCTGTCACTTGGCAGTTGCATTAGTCTATCCAAACAGTGGCATTAAACGGAGTATATCGTTCATCTTCCACGGAGCACTTTCTCAGAGCATTTATGACAGGAATAGCCAGTTTTATAGTTTAGACAAGATCAGGTAAAAAATGCCATTTTCATTAGCCAGCGCTGGGAAAACGACACAACACCCCTTGCAAGTTGTCACTTTCCAATGCTCTCAGACCTGAGGACATTACTTATTAAGAAGCAGTGACTTCATTTCTTAATGGGACGACGATTGGCGGGCGACAGGGAGGTAGACGACTCTCTTCGCCCTCATCATTCGCTGGCCCTTTCCCTTTGCCTCTCCAACTAATCTCTACCCCGTTCCTGGCGCCAGTCAAGGCTTGCGTGCAGGAAAAACACGGGAACGAAAGAATTCAGGGCAGACCGCCGCTTAATCTGATTATGGCATAATTCTGGCGCCGTTCTCTGGCTCATCGGAATGCTACAAAATTATCACAATTCATTCTCCCTCAAGTTCCAAAACTTCTTGCGTGGCATATTTTTTTCCCCTTGCGATCGGTGCTACCTTAGCGAAAACACAAGTAGGACTTCAAGTGCTTCCCCAACTTTCAGAGTTTTTCGACCAAAAGTGGGATAGTCTACATGAGCTTGTCAAGATTAGAACGAAATGACATCTGTAAATCCACAAACACCTTTTCCTCGGTTGGTAAATGATGTCAATATTTATTCATTCTTTCAAATAAAATAATCTCAAAAATTTATGCATCCAATTCACTGACAGTGACTTAGGGACATCAACAACGCAAATGAAGTACTCGCTAAAAAGTTATTAATCATCGACGGATATACTGTAATTTAACCGGAGCTGTAATGCTTGCTAAGAACAGAAAATGGTCCTTCCTCTGGTTCAGGTGCTAAAAACAATGTCGGTACAAAAATCACAAAAATGCTACAGTTTGTTTAGAACGTCGAGCTCATTACTAACCACGAGCCAATTCCATTGCAGGTGCGTCTCGGAAACCACTCTTTCATGGAAGGTCCAAGCATCGTGATAGATATTCAAAAGTCTGCCCGGAAGCACCAATTTATCCACTTCACATTGGAAAGGAATTTTATTGGCGACAACTAGGCTTGCTGTAGCACAAGAACGGAATCCCCAGCGTCAAAGCAACGTCGGCAATTTTTTTCGCAAGGTGCATGGACATACAAAGCTACAAAAACGTTGGCTTCTGAGCAAATGAAGTAAAAGCAGCAGAAACAGTGACAGTGACAACTCACTCCACCTGGCTACCACTTTTCTTTACTTCCACCCTCCCCTCCGCTTCTGTTTCTAATTGGCCGACTGGCGTCATGTTTTTTTTCCTGGTGCACAAAGAAGAGAAATTCCCTGCCTTCTACCCACATGTCTCATACATTTCGCTCTCTACCTGTCCCCACAATGCCTTGTCATTTTGTGCCGTGGAGTTTTGCAGTCCTAGCGACACCAAAATCCGACATCTTCACCCCCTACCTTAACCTCTGCACACAGCAACACAAAATCTCTTTGTAAACTCACTTCTTTGACAACTGTCGGTCTAAACAACAGGCGCTAGGGGCAGAGTTGGCCAGAATGAGAACCCATGAAATGTCCCTTAAACGCCTCATTAATAGGCCAAATTATTAAACCTGAAGCTAATCAAAGTTTATCTTTCTTGAAATTGTATAGCGAAAGACTTCTACGAAAATTCTACAAGTTCTTGTTTTGCAAAAAAATGGTCTCATATCTGTAGGTAGAGCCAAAATTTCATACCTCGTCATTCATGAAAACGTTCAAACATGAGAAGCGGACGAAAAAGGAGGCTAATGTTGGCTTTCATTTCAGAACCGGCTATAGTGTAGTTTATCTTGACAAATGTAAAGTTCGTTCGGACAAAATGCACAGGAAACTTCAACTTGTTTGCTTTGTTTTGAAAACCAATTAGGGAGGTACCATCTTGAGGCACTTTACGGGAAATTCATTATCGCGTATTCAAACGGCTTTCTCAAGAAGAAACATTCCCACCAGCACTAGCTCAATTTAATTCTTGTTTCAGATGCTAACAAACCAAGATGCAATTTCCTTCGTTCCCAAGGCGGGTGTTTTTAGGCAAAAATTAGCTCAGGTTTCACACCCAGAGAGAGAGGGAGAGAAGACGAAATAAAACCGACGTTAATTGCCCCTCTACGACAATGAACTTGATGTTTGAAAGCAAAAAAGCATCCCTTTATTTAGCATGCAGGGTGCGACAAACAGTGGTCACGCAAGGCCTGAACAATGTCCCCAGTGCATGCAATTATTGTGAAGTCGAGAGGCGCGGACACTAAGTCAATCAACACTTGAGCAGGGGGTAGGACTCAAGTACTTATTTTTTTCTCAATGTCATACTGACAATGCAGGTTGCGTGTTGTGCGAAGTGGGGAGAAGTAGGCCCGGAATAAAAATCAGTACCTGGGAGACCAGGAAGAGGTGAAGGCGTTAAAGGTTGGGCGCAGTTGCAGCTGTGGTGACGGGATCGGCTGATGTGGCCTCACCGCTGAGTTGATTAGGTCTTCCAGATGTACAGTAGATGCTATGCACTATCATACTTAATATCGGAAGGGATTCTTTTTATTCATATTTAAAAAACACCTACTCTTAGTTGCATCGTCAAGTCTTTATTAGTAATGACGATATCCCAGCAGGAAACAAGTTTTATGGGCAAGATTGGGAGAGATAGGAGAATGAAATAGAAGCAATTAGGGGGTGAATTGGTTTTCTAACGCATAAGCACTCCTGATTAGTCACTTTTCACGATACATTTTCACATGTCGACTCATAAACAACGTGACTGGGAGGAAATTGAGCCGATAACACTAAATGCCTGTACATCTGTAAACACGACCGAATTCTTGCCAATAAGCGTTCGCATCGTTATAGAGGGAGGATGTGGTGAATAAATTCTGGCAAACTTCATCAAGGTTTGCAATTGTTCTTTCATTAATCTTAAAAATGAACGTAGGCATTAAAACCAGTCTATCACATCTCAATTTCCCATACGGTACTGCATTAAGTGACAGCTCATCTTCAAAAATGCAATTGCATTGCATTGTAGCAGCCTAATTCAGGCATCAAAACAGGCGCTCCTTGATGGACATTTAGTTGTGCATTCATTGAAACCCGAATACGACTTCAAACGCCACATCCAGTACTGTCACAATAAAAGCTGGGACTCTGGAAAGTAGCAAAAGCCTCCGCAACACTTAATTTCCGTGGTTTTACAAACTTCCACTATCCTCGATTTTAAGGTACTTCCAACCTTTTCAGGCGATGGGAGGAAAAAAATGAGCTAATGCTTCCTACCACACGCACACCAAACGGGAAAATGGGAGGCTTAAAGGAGTGATTAAGGAGGGGAGAAGTCAAAGGTTTTCATGTCGACCTAAAGAGAGTTAGAAGCGGGAGAAAAAAGTCCCGAAGAGCGATCTACTCAAAGATGCTACTTTAGCTAACTATGGACTAAAACCAACACCAAGAGAAGCGTTAAAATACGAATTTAGCAAACCGGTGAGATTGAAAGTGGCGAAAAGAGACTCCTTAACATGATGAGGCGTTGACCTTTGTGATAAGGCATATAAAGTGATGTGGCGAGTAAACGTACCACTACTGACCACCGTGCAGAGTAGGATAAGGTTAATCCAAGGGAGAGACAGAGTACAGAGCTCCGCGTCCCTCAGAGGTATACTCAATAAATGGCACACGTGAAAGCACATACGCACACACACGCATGCGCACACGCACTCGCGTAAACAACCGCACACAGGCGCGTCCGCACATTTGCATTAGCTGGACGCATGCACGAATGCACACGACCTTGAGACTGTACACGCCTCTGAGTGGAGGAGGAGGGAGGGGGAGGGCGTGATGGGTGAGGAAACGTGTGAGTGCGTGAGGAGCCACCCGGGTCTACAAAAAGGCAGCCATTATGGTGACTTCGAGCCACAGTGGACGGATAGCGTGGTTTGTATGACTCAGTGTTGTGCGTGTGCGTGAGTAGAGTGAGTCGTCAATAGCGAACCAACAGACGCTCGACTTATTTGAGGCCCGCCCCTAGCGGAGCACGACTCAGCACACCAAAAAATGTCGATTGCGTATCTGCACCGTCCGTCGAATCCACCTGCGTTCCACCAAAAGTCAAGAGTGCACAGAACCACAAAACCGTGCTTGTAAACCCCGTTAATTGCAGCCTAATTGTATACTAAATAGGATTGATCCAAGTAAACGAACCAAGTTAAATTACTACCTGATTTAATAAAAAGGAATTTTAC